TATCAGCCCAGGAAGAAGAATGCTACCTTCATCATGACAGGAGAGGAGATGTGGAAGATGAGTCCAGAGACAGGAAGACGGAGAAGATGAGGGAGGCATCGCTTAGTGGCTCCATGACTACACCATGATGTTATTAAATGTGTGGGGCTGGGAAAGGGTGAGAGTTTTGAAGAAGGAGTGGAAAACTAGAGAAACAGCACAGGAGGGATGATCCAGCTGCTCTGAGTGCAGGTGACGTTTACTGTCTTAAAATGTAGGTTTTACAAACAACCCAGTAAAGAAATGGGCAGAAGATATGAACAGACACTTCTCCAAAGAGGACACACAGATGGCCAACAACACATGAAATGATGCTCAGCATCCCTACTCATCAGGGAAATACAAATCAAAACGACACTGAGATACCACCTCACGCCAGTCAGAGTGGCTAAAATGAGCAAATCAGAGAACATGAGATACTGGTGAGGATGTGAAGAAACGGGCACCCTCCTACACTGTTGGTGGGAATGTAAACTGGTACAGCCCCTCTGGAAAACAGTGTGGAGGTTCCTCAAAAAATTAACAATAGAACTCCCCTAGGACCCAGCAATAGCACTGCTAGGAATTTACCCAAGGGATTCAGAAATGCTGAGGCATAGGAGTACATGCACCCCAGTGTTCATAGCGGCACTCTCAACAATAGCCAAAACATGGAAAGAGACTAAGTGTCCATCAACGGACGAATGGATCAAGAAGATGTGGTTTATCTATACCATGGAATACTACATGGCAATGAGAAACAATGAAATCTGGCCATGTGTAGCAACATGGATGGGCCTTGAGGGTGTTATGCTGAGTGAAATAAGTCAGGCAGAGGACAAATATCATATGTTTGCACGTATAGGAGGATTAGGAGGAACTTAACGGAAGACCATGGGGTAGAAGAAGGGTGGAAATAGTGGGGGGAAAGGGGAGAGGCAAACCATGAGAGACTCTTGAATGCTGACAAAAACTGAGGACTGATGGATGTGTGGGGGGGGAGGGGGACACGGAGAGGGGCACTTGTGGGGATGAGCACTGGGTGTTACATGGAAACCAACTTGACAATAAACTATTTGTAAAAAAAATAAATAAATAAAAAGATAAAATTGCTTACATATCAAATCATAAAAAAAATAAAAAAATAAAATGTAGGTTTTATTATTATTCAGGTACGGCAAGGCTAACCATGAGAAAGTGGATGCCATTGAAAACATAGTTAATTATATTCTTGGGTCCCAAGAGGAGGGGACACACCCCCAAGAGGAGGGGTAAATCAGGAGGTCAAGGGAGAAGGGGGAAGATGAGCAAGAGCCTCTCTTGTGGTTTCCATGGGAAGGAAAAAGAGATGCATGATAAGTAGGTTTTGGACTGGCTAGTTTGAATAAATTTCAGTGGGCCCTGGAAAGTGGGAATTGGGAATCCTGGGAATCATCCCTGGTTGCCTGGTGCCTGGGCATGGGATGATTAGGGCAGGGAAATAGTGCCTAAGAGTGAGAACTCTGGGCAAAGGAGGGCTTGGGGGGTAGACTGTGGGTGATTGATTTGCATACGAAAGGCAGATCTCTGCTATCTGTAGGAATTAGTTAGCTTGGAGGGGCAGTCCCTCAGCAACCAGCAAAGCCCCAAGATGTAAAAGCATCAAATAGAGAAACTATAAAAATGTGGTTATTGGACTTATAAATGGTCTCCAAAACAAATGCCCCATTTTCTGGCCTGTGGCCTTTGCCCAGACAACCTCAGGAGCCACCCAGAGCCTCCATTTTAATCTTTTAAAGACACTTGGACTTGGGTTTAGACAGGGCATCATATGCACCAACCAGAAATGATATTCCCCACCCAAAATGGAGAAGAAGATTATTTTCTTCTTAAACAATAGGAGAAAAAATAAAGGAAAGGACACAAACAGCCAGTTTAGAAAAGAATAAATAACCAACAAATGAAGAGATAATGACTTCTCTTTTCACTGAAGAATTGCAAAAGTAAATAATGAGGTTTCTCACTTATTTTTTGACAAAGATAAAAGAAAGTGTAAAATGCTCAGGGTCAGTACTATGGTAGGACCATAAAGTAATTTTAAAAAATCTCTCTGGGGTGCTGTTTGGGAAGAGGTATCAAAATTCATAAAACTCTACCACTTCTTTGACCCAGAAATTTCACTCCTACAAAATTATCCTGAGGGGGCTCTGTCATTTTCTACCTGTGTGACTGTCCATCAGCAAAGCAGCATTGGCAGTGACTTCCATGGGTAGAATCGCTACTACATGTCTGTCCTTACATCTTCTCCTTCAACCACCATAACTACTCTAGGAGATAGGCACTTTCCCTTTATGATGAAAATGACCTCAGGAAGATTAAGAAATGAGCCCTCTGGCATGCAATAAATGGCTGATGAAAAGCCAGACCAACTGAATCAAAACTCAGTCTACTCAGTCATGAAGTTATCCACCTCCTAAAGGGCCTGTCCTCATGGGAACTCAGATTCCTTGTTCCACAGAGTGGGTCTGGTCCAGTGATGTCTCAACTACCTCCTGGCTCCAACCTTCAACTGTTTTCAGCTCTTCTCCTGCCATGCCTGGACCATCGAAGAGCTTGCCTAGCCTGTGAGGATGGAGTGTGCTTCTAAAGGGTCCTCTTTCCAGGGCAGGGAACCCAAATGGCCACAGGTACATGTCCCAATGGGGACAATAGACACTCCTTTTTAGGGCTCATGGGTCACTCAGTCAGTTGGGCATTTGACTCTTGACTTTGGCTGAGGTCAGGAACCCAGGGTCATGGGATTGAGCCCCATGTCTGGCTCTCAATGAGCATGGAGCCTGCTTAGGATTTCTCTCCCCACCACGCCACCCTCTGTCCTGCTCCTGCTCTCAAATTAAAAAAACAAAACCAAAAACATCTCTTTTCTTCCCAAGTCAGTCTGGCTTGAGATACTAGCCTCTGCTTGCCTCCTTGAGTCCACTTTGTCCTTCTCAATGAGCAAGAAAAAGCCTAGTACCTTGGCACTGCTTTTCCAGTTAATTTCTAACTAAGGAATCTCTTTATGTCAAAAGGTGCAAAACAGAGGCCTTGTATTTGCAGGCACAAGTTTGACCCCCAATGTCAATCATTTGAGGTGTCAACATATTAGGAAAATGAACAACAACCTGACAGCCTAGGAAAGGAAAATACTGTGCCCAAAGGGGAAAATATTCCACCCTCAAGAAAACAATCTCAAGAAACAGAACCAGAGGATAATTGGAGGAAAGACTGCCAGCCAGTGGTAGATGTATATATAGGAGGCACGTACTTGTAAACAGATTAATTCTACCTTTCTGGCTTCAGGTAAGGCTATCTACAGCTCTCTCTTCTCCTAGCCACTTCTGCCCCACCTACCTGTCTGTTACTTCCCATTCTGCTTGGGGGCGGGGGGTGGGGGGAGAAAATCAAGAGATTGGACACTTGGGTCAGACCTAGAGAGCGAGTCCTTCCTCTGCTGATAATTGGCTTCATTATCTTTGGTTTGTCAGTCTTCCTCTCTGTGAGACTGTGCTCTGTGCTTTTCTAATAACAATGACTACTATTTCTTCACTCATTCAATGCATGTTAGTTAAGTGCCTACCATGTACCAGGCACTGAAAATATAGCAGTGAACAACAGCATTGGCTATGTGCTAGGCCCTGCTTTGCATATATCATCTTACTTAATACCCATGACAATATGCAGTCAGTTATTACCCACCACAGTGTTTTCAAAGTATAGGTCACACCCATTAGTGGATCATGAAATTATTTGTGGATTATATCCAAAATTTTCTTTTAACTAAATACTATAGACAATGTCAACCAGCAATGCACACAGTAATGATAAGAATTTTTTTTAAACTTCTATTATGTGTTTATGTGTATGTATACAGGCAGGCACATACACAAGCAACTATACCAATTTATGGCAAAAAATATTTTCTTTATAGCAGATCCTAGCCATAAAGGTTTGGAAAACACTGCTCCAGAACACAAAGTTCTTTGATCATAAGGACATCAAACTAAGCCTGGCACATCATAGGCACTCAGTTTGTGGAAGCAATGATCCATATTTCATAGATGAGGAAACTAATTGTTAGTGAAGTGAAATACCTTGCCCAAGGTCACACTGTTAGCGACTGGTAAAACAGGGATTTGAATCCCTGTTGCAGGCTCCAAGTCCTAAACATTTAACCACCATGCTAAACTACTTTGCTGCTGGAAAAATTGGGGTAGTATTTTACCTACCTAGGATTTTACCTACCTAGGATTATTTCACCAATTGAGTGAAATAATAAGTGACCACTCTGTAAACATTAACATTCATTGTGAAGGTTAATCGCCTCTCGAGTTTCCTATCTCACACTACTTCTTTGCGATATGTGAGTTGCATAAAGTAAGAGATCTTGCCTATCCTGTTCATTGTTTTCTTTGGGGTGTAGCCCCCTGTTTGGCACATGGTAGCTACTCAATAAACGTTTGTTGAATAAATAAGTGGATTTGGGGAAGTTGAAAGTTTTCCAGCAGGGGATTGGGAGTTGGCTGTTAACCCAAAGCTGCCTCCTATGATGGTGAGTCCAGAACATTCTACCCCATTTTGCTTCCTGTTCCAAATGAGACTCAGTTCTTCCAGATGCACTGAGACGGGGGTGGGGGGTGGGGGGGGCAGATGGTAATGTGGGTGGGAGTAAGGGTGAGATCACAGATGAGAAAACCACCAAAGCAAGGGCCACAGCACTGCATACTTTTTGTAGTCCATATAAATGGCATCTTCTGGAGCTGTGCAGTGTACAATAAAAGCAGACCTCCCAACTCTAGGGAGGTGAGTTAGATCATGCTTTTATCCCATTCACCTCTGTTCACAGGACTCCAAGCATCACAAACTGGGAGGAAACCCCGGGGGGGGGGGGGGCGTTGGTCAACCTATCTTTGCTTTTGGGCAGGTCTTCCCCACAGCAGAAGTAGCTCTGAAGAGCAGAAAGAATGGGGCGGCTTTCTTCTCCGACCTCAACTTTGATGTGGATGGCAGTGGTGGTAACTTCTTGGGTCATAACAGCTGTAGCCACTGACACCTCAGAAGCAAGTAAGTCGTGTGTGTGTGTGTGTGTGTGTGTGTGTGTGTGTGTGTAGGAAACAATGCCACCATTAGCAGAGGAGATCACACCCCCTCTCCTATCATGCTTGGAATTCGATTTATCCTAAATCCATTTTTGATGCTTTCACATATACAGGACTCAGGAATTTTGCTAAAATGCAGGCTCTGATTCAATGTGTCTGGGGTAGGGCCTGAAATTCTGCATTTCTGACAAGCTCTCAGGTGATGCTAATGCTGTGGTCCTTGGATCATACGTTGAGAGGCAAGAGTCTAGAATACCACTAAGGTCCCCTGCCATTTTCCTGGAAGGTCAGGAACATACTTAACCACACAGGAGATTTGAAACACCTAAGTGACTCCCAAATACCTCCCCTTGCATTCTTAAGAGGTCATTCCATTGGGTCTTGCATCATCCTCATCTAGCTTTCAGCTTATCCCTGGAGAAGGGAACTGGGCCTCTCCCCCGAGCTGGAGAACTCTGGGGCACAGTAAATGCCATGTCAGTGTCCTGGTTAAGAGCAGGTCCTGCTACCTGTCCTGTGGTCCTGCTACCAACAGAGCACAGGGTTTAAACACTCTGAACCTCAGTTTGCTCATCTTTAAAATAAGGAGAAATACAAAAGCAATCCCACAGGGGCCATTGGGGAGGATTCAATGAGACAATGAGTGAAAAGCACAGATCCCAATGTAAATGCTTAACAAACAATAGCTCGTTATCTTTACTGCTTTTATTGTCATGGAGGATGTCACACAAAGTGGGAACACCCCTGTCTGGGAGAGCTGGGGAAGTCTTCAGAGGGGAGGCAGGAAAGATCTGAGCAGAAAGCATTAAATGTTCAAAGGTGGGGAAGTGGTGTCAGGGTCACCTAATCATACCATTGTGTCAAGAACTCTGTGTTATTCCTCTGGATATGGAAACATGGATATTTTTAAATAAGATACAGTTTGAAAGCAATGCTTAACACAGAACAATACACAGTGGAATCATAAGGGGAGTTCTGGTATTTGGTTTGGGGGGAGTCCTCCATTAAGTCTAAAGAACATGGTACCCAAAGAGATGCAGGAGGACTCTCCGGGTGACCACTGACCCAGCTGCCACCACTCTGAGGCTGGGCTTTTCTGTCCACAGGAAGCTGCTCTGAATGTCACAGCAATGCCACCTGCATGGAGGATGGGGTTGCCACAACATGCTCCTGCCACGTGGGTTTCACTGGCAATGGCCTTATGTGCATGGACCTAGACGAATGTGCCATGTCTGGGGTGCACAACTGCTCCGAGGACAGCATCTGTGTGAACACGCTGGGCTCCTACTTGTGTACCTGCCCTGATGGCTTCCGCCTGACGCCTGGGCTGGGTTGCACTGATGTGGATGAGTGCGCTGAGCCGGGGCTCAGCGGCTGCCACTCCCTGGCCACCTGCATCAACCACAGAGGCAACTACTCGTGTGTGTGTCCTGCCGGCTACTGGGGTGATGGGTGGCACTGTGAGTGTTCCCCAGGCTCCTGCGGTCTAGGACTGGACTGCGTGCCCGAGGGCGACGCGCTTGTGTGCACCGACCCATGCCAGGCGCACCGCATCCTGGATGAGTACTGGCGCAGCACCGAGTATGGAGCGGGCTATGCCTGCGACTCAGGCCTGAGTGGTTGGTACCGCTTCATGGGGCAGGGTGGCGTGCGCCTGGCGGAGACATGCGTGCCAGTCCTGAGCTGCAATACGGCTGCACCCATGTGGCTGAATGGCTCGCACCCGTCCAGTGACGAGGGCATCGTGAGCCGCATGGCCTGTGCACACTGGAGTGGCCACTGCTGCCTGTGGGATGCACCCGTCCAAGTAAAGGCCTGTGCGGGCTACTATGTCTACAACCTGACTGCGCCCCCTGAGTGCTATCTGGCCTACTGCACAGGTGAGTGGGCGTCTCCCCTCTCCCCCACCTTCATTCCAGGCCTGGGTGGGCACCATGGGAGGCTGGGGGGCATCCCTGCTGACTGGCTGTGTCTGTGACCCTGCAGACCCCAGCTCTGTGTTGGGGACGTGTGAGGAGTGCGGTATAGACGAGGACTGCAAATCGGATGATGGCACATGGAGCTGCCAGTGCAAACAGGACTTCAACGTCACTGGTGAGGCCAGTGGGAGGAGGCAAGGTGCTGAGAAATGTCAGTAACTGGGGGAGGGACACGTTCCTGTGTGTGAGTTGGGGACATGTAGGGATGATATGGGGATACATGTCATCCAATCTGAGTGAAAAGCAGGTCCAGTAATATCTATTAAGACCAGCAGAAGCTCTCTGAGCTCCTGATGTCATTTTAGTTGACCCCAAAGCTCCTAGCACTTGGGGGGCCTCCTTATCCCCTCCTTCTTTCTGAGGCTAGCACACCACACCCAAAGGCTACCTAAGGCATATTTTTGCAGTTCAAGAACAAAGGACTAGTGACCAGCCAATGGTTTCTTCCACTCACAACTAGAGGACCCAGGTCAGGGCTGTGGCCATCTCTTAAGACTCAGATTCCCCATATGTACAATGATTGAAGCAGGATAGTATCTCCCACACTTCAGTCATGATTTTAGTCACATCCAAGTTCCAGCTTTATAATTTTGCTTTATCAAGGTACTACCCTCTACTGTGATTTTTATTATTAACTTGTTTTTCACTAAATTGACTGAATCCTTCTTTTAAATAAACTTGAGACATTAATGGTCAGTACGGCATCTATCTGTGGCAAGTAACACCTTCGATAGAAGGTAACAGTAAAAATGAATACAAGGAGGGGCGCCTGGGTAGCTCAGTCGGTTAAACACCCGGCTTCGGCTCAGGTCATGATCTCGCAGTTCGTGGGTTCGAGCCCCGCATCAGGCTCTGTGCTGACAGCTAGCCTGGAGCCTCTTTCAGATTCTGTATCTCCCTCTGTCTCTGACCCTCCCCTGCTCACGCTGTGTCTCTCTCTCTCAGAAATAAATAAAACATTTAATAATTTAAAAAAATGAATACAAGGAAAGAATGTTATTAAATTCCAGCATATGTGTAATACTTCAATTTTAAAAAGTTAAAAAAATCCAGCTAGATATTCATTTGTTCCCCAAACACTTAGCCTGATATCTGCATTCTGTTGTTTTAAAATGGAAATTAGCAAGTGAACAGCATTAAAAATATTAGTAGCTAGTGAGGACTATCTCTTTGATATAGAAAGGATGGAAAGATGCTGTAATTAATGTAGTTGTTGTTTTGTTTTATGGAGATTCAGTGTTATTTAATGCTGGGGGGTGAATGGTCCCAAAATAATATTTTGCTTTGTATACAATCCACATGAAGGGTAACAAGGGGCTGATGGTTGGCCCTGAGCATTCAGTGATGCTCATAGTCCAATCTTGTGCCTCAGTCCCTCTGATAGGGAGACCATAGCACAAAGGCTAATCTGAGTGCCCCTCAGGTGGTGGCTAGCCCAACCAGCGGTTCCTGGAGATGTGGTGGACACTGAATTGTGGTCACAGGGTTCCAATCCCACCTTCTCTGACTATTTCAGATCTTTCCCTCCTGGAGCGCAGACTGGAGTGTGGGGCCAATGACATCAAGGTGTCCCTGGGCAAGTGCCAGCTGAAGAGCCTGGGCTTTGAGAAGGTTTTCATGTACCTGCGTGACAGCCAGTGTTCGGGCTTCATTGAGAAGGGAGACCGGGACTGGATATCTGTGGTGACTCCAGCCAGGGATGGCCCCTGTGGGACAGTGATGACGGTATGTGCTGGACAGTGTGGAATAGAGTGAGAGCACTGCCTGGTTCAAGCCCTAGCTTTACCATTTCCTAGTTGTATGAGCCTGGCTGTGCCTCAGTTTCCTCGACTGTAAAATGGGAAAACAGTACCTACTTCATAGGTTTTCTGAGGATTGAATGAGTTAATGTATGTACAGTGATGAGGACAGTGACTGGCACAGTGTAAGTGCTTAATAAATGTCAGCTTCAAATAAAGAGAATGATCCTGATGACAGTTCCCCATTTTACAGATGGAAACAGAAGGACCTATACAGGGCAGTGATTCTTCTCAGCCAGTAGGTATTGACACTGGGCTCAGAAGCAGGTCTATCTATCTTGGGTAGTCCTGGGAGGCAAGGACCTGCATCACTGGTATGTAGAGAACCAGGAATTCACCTACAGAAACCTCTTCAAAAGGGACCTAGAGGTCAATGTCTGAGTGAATACTGCTTCCCCAACTCCCTCATCCCCTGGAAAGAAAAGGAAAGAAGACAAAAGAAAGAAAGAAGGAAGTTGTCATTTGCTTCATGCAGGATTTAAAATTCTAGCATTAACAATGACTCAGGACATGGTTTTTAGTCTTTGAGAGAGGAAGTATAGCCTAACCAGAAGAGCCCAGGCTTATCAGATCTCACATCTTGTGGGCAAGTTACTCAGAGTTACTCAGTTTTTAAGAAACCTTGTCTCCTCATCATAAAACAAGGAGGTAGTAACCCTGCCTCTCAGGGTCATTGAAGGGGCTAATGCAGTGATGCCAGAGGAGCATTTAACTCAGGACCTAGCACATGATGCATGCTTGTAGATGCCTGCTATTTTGTTATAATTTCTGATTATGACAGCTGGGAGGGCAGAGAAACTCCTTTGGTTTTGAGTCCTACTCAGATTTTTATGCCCCTTTCTCCCACTCCCACCCCCCAACACAGAGGAATGAAACCCATGCAACGTACAGCAACACCCTCTACCTGGCAGATGAGATCATCATCCGTGACCTCAACATCAAAATCAACTTTGCATGCTCCTACCCCCTGGACATGAAAGTCAGTTTGAAGACCTCCTTGCAGCCAATGGTCAGGTGCGCCCAGAGAGGGCCCCCAGTGCCCCGGCCGACTCCACCCCACGAATCTTTAAACACCAGGTCCTCAGCTGCCCTGTCAACTGCCAGCCACAAGGAGCTGGGTGGGGATACTGGGAAGCAGTATTCTCAATGGAATACAGCCCAACTGGGAATTCTGGAGCCCAGATTCAAATCCAGGCTCTGTCACATACTAACAAGATGGCTTTGGAAATTGATAGCCCCACCCTGGGTATCGGTCTTATGTGAAATGGATTTAGCAGTACTTTCTTAGAAGCACAACAGTGCTTTGCATATGTGAGTCAAATATTAGGGCCTCTGGCTTATCAGAGGGGCAGGGTGGTTGGGCCAGATGGAAGGAGGGAGAGTTCCTGGTCCAGATCTGCTGTTTATATGATATATAAATCATATGCTATATTTGGACCTCAGTTTCCTTCCTTCCTCTGTAAAAAGGAGGAGTTGATTAAAGAGGGATTTGTAAATTATGCCTCTTGAAGTGCCTTTGGGGATGCCTGCAAGGTGAACCAGAAAAGTTCCACCCATATGGGGTGCCACATGATGTTTTAATATTAAAAATAATTTTATAAAAGGATCCTGTTGCTAAAAAAATTGAAAATCTCTGAGTAGGATGAATCACAGTCCAGTGATGCTGATGTTGGAAAAAATTACAGTTGTAATTATAACAAGCACTTATCAAGAGCTGACTATATGTCAGGCATTGTGCTAATGGCTCTATAGGAAGCATCTCATTGAAATCTTAGAGCACCTTAAGGTGTAGATATTACTGTTATTATTATTCCCATTATTCAGATGTGGAAATTGAGGCTCAGAGAAGACTGAGTAACCTCTCCAAAGTTAGTTAGTAAGTGGCAGAGCTGGGATTCAAACCCAGGCCATCAGGCCCAGAGCCCCACTCTATCATGGCCTTCATTATGAAGCTTGCCCATGGTTACATGTTCTTTGAGCCAACCAGACTGGAGGAAGGGCACTAGGTACTGATGAGGGTGCGTGGCTGACTTGGGGGAAGAAGGTTGCTCATTGTCTGCCAGTGGCTGGAGCATCATCTGGCCAAGCAGTTCACTGAGGCAATGTGGCCATGTCTCAGCCTGACAGACTTCAGAGAACAACACATTTGTGTGCAGACATCTCTCTGGTTTGAGCTAGAAATCTTGCCTTGGTTCAAGTCTGAGTCCAAGCCAATAACCCACTCCTTACCTATAAAATAGACTTCTACATTACTGGGTTTTTATCATATACCTTATTTCTAGGGTATCAGATATCCTTATAATGTCCTTTATTGGCTCATCCTGTGAAGTTTACATTAGTGTAGCTATTTTCAATATGGTTATAAAGAACCCATTTACAAAACCCGTCTTCTGCTATAGGTAGAACCAGAACTCTGACTTAGGCCTGTAGGACTCATAGCCATCCTTTTAACTGTTCCAGGTTGAGACCAAAGAAGAAATGTAGGCGATTCCCTTGAGAATTTGTTTATTGCACTTCTTAAAGGCAAGGGCTACCAAGTGAGGGGGGCGGACATGTTACAAAAAATTTGATCTATGGCTCAGCAGCATCAGCAACACATGGGTACTTGTTAGAAATGCAGAACCTTGAGCCCTACCCAAACCTACCAAACCAGAACCTGCATTTCAACAAGATGCACAGGTGACCCATGTCTGCTCACTGCAGTTTGCAACCACTGCAGTAGTGGGTGGGTTCCAGTCCAACTGCCGGATAAAAATGCAGAGAGCTGCCAGGGGCTGCCCAGGACTATGGACCAGAAAGGGTGGGCCATGTGTTGCTGTGCTCAGATCTGGTTTTCTCACCAGCCCCTCTCTCCCTGTAGTGCCCTAAACATCGGTGTGGGTGGAACAGGCATGTTCACTGTGCGGATGGCACTCTTCCAGAGCCCTACCTACACACAGCCCTACCAAGGCTCCTCCGTGACCCTGGCCACAGAGGCCTTTCTCTACGTGGGCACGATGCTGGATGGGGGTGACTTGTCCCGGTTTGCACTGCTGATGACCAACTGCTACGCCACACCCAGCAGCAATGCCACGGACCCCTTGAAGTACTTCATCATCCAGGACAGGTGAGTTCCAGGGCCTCACCAGGGCAGAAGGGGGCAGCCTCTGGATTGGGATTTAGGATAAAGTACATCTGTATATTTGTTAATCTCTAGCTGAAAATTTAGCATCACCATCCATTATGAATATAGGCAACAAATCATAGAAGTATTAGCAGAACATTTGCACACGTCAGTACTTTCAGTTACTAGAATATTAGTTTCTACTAGAAATTATTTAATGTATTATCAATATATATACTTATAAGTATATGTATTTATATATAATAGATATGTAAATATATAATGCATATATCAAATGTTTGAATATTTTGAGAACTACACTTCAACTGCTTTCCTTTATAATCTTAGGTACTTTATGTGTTTAAAACATTATTTTTGAGGAGGGATACATAGGCTTTACCAGAAGGCTGGAGGTGTCCAGGACTCAAGAAAAGGTTAAGAAACCTGACTGAAAGGTGCACTCACCCAGGGCAGGAGGCAAGTGAGCAGTATTTGGCTGGGAGGAGTGAGCTGGAGACACAGTGAATGAAGGACCAGTTGTAAAAGGGAGGACACAGGAGTGCTACTTTTTACTCCAGAGGCATTGGAGAGCCGTGGGCCACACTGTGAGAAAGTAATTCACAACGTCATTCAAAATGGAACAGATGTTTTTGGAAGCTTCCTGTGTGCCAGGCTCTGTACATAACACAGTGCACAGAACAGACAAAATTCTATGCCCTCAGACGGCTGATATTCCAAGAAGGGGGCGACCAATAAGTAACCAAGATAAATCTATAGCATGTCAGTGGTAATGGAGCTATAGGAAAAACCCAAAGCAGGGAAAGGGGAGGGACATTTGCAATTTTAATAGCATAGTCAGAAAGACAGTGACCTATTCCCGTTTTAGTTCTTAGAATGTGTCCTGAATAAGCACATGTACCCCAATGTTCATAGCAGCACTCTCCACAATAGCTAAAACATGGAAAGAGCCTAAGTGTCCATCAACAGATGAATGGATCAAGAAGATGTGGTTTATCTATACCATGGAATACTACATGGCAATGAGAAACAATGAAATCTGGCCATGTGTAGCAACATGGATGGACCTTGAGGGTGTTATGCTGAGCGAACTAAGTCAGGCAGAGAAGGACAAATATCATATGTTTGCACGTATAGGAGGATTAGGAGGAACTTGACGGAGGAACAAGGGGGAGAAGAAGGGCGGAAACGGTGGGGGAAAGGGAGAGAGGCAAACCATGAGAGACTCTTGAATGCTGACAAAAACTGAGGACTGATGGATGAGGGGGGGAGGGGGGGTGGGCATGGAGGAGGGCACTTTGGGGATGAGCACTGAGTGTTATGTGGAAACTAATTTGACAATAAAATATTTGTAAAAAATAAAAAAATTAAAAAAAAAAAAAAAAGAATGTGTCCTGAATACATCAAGGGAAAAGTCTTAGTTGGGTGCTCATCTGACGTTTACACCTCTCTGTTATTTGCTAATCCCCTTTGCAACAGAAAGAAAGCGTAAGTCTGTTTTAGGGCCTTTAGCTGTGACAGTAGCTAACTAAAATTTAATAGCATGGTTTACTTTGTATTTATCTGTAAATGGTCATGTTTTGCTTATGGCAAGTGATACTGGTTTGCTATTTGTGGTCAGGATCGGAAGATTCTTCTAAAAAGTTAGATGTACTCCAATAAAAATGTACATATATTTGATAAAAATAGTAAGTAGATAATAATATAGGTGTTGAGAAACACAGGAAAACATACATAAAGGTGGTGTCTAGGTAAGGCAAAAAAAATTTTGGAAAAGGGTTGGGATGATCTTGATTGGGCCATCATGAAGATATGGGTTCACATCTTGGCTTTGCTACTTCTTAGTCCAGAGACATAAGCCGTCTCATCTCTCTATTCGTGTTCTCATATGTGAAATGGACACATGTTCAGTTGAGCATGTATTCTGTGAAATGCTTGAAAAGTTGTGAAAAAGAAGCAGGAAGAAATGTTGGGTGTGCTTTGTTTTTCTGTCTGGTCATGTGTGAGAGTTAGACTGGGACCACCAGTCTAAGAGGGATGCCAAACATCTCAGGATGTGTAAGGAGGAGCTGGCTGGGGAGAAGTGAGAAGGGTTGGATGCCCTGCTCAGGTTGCATGCATGGGGCTTTCAGGCGGTGGGTCCCCTTAACCTCAGAGCTTTTATTTTGCCAAGTGGACTGTGCACCTTTGCAATCAGATTGAATTGTGGAGGACACAAAGCACAGAGTTCCCTTCTCAGTTCTTCCTCTTTGCAGTCAGCATCCAGGCCCTCTCCTCAATCAATTCTGAGCAAATCATGTAAAACAGCAGAGAAGATGCTCAATTTATCTGCCCATGTATCTTGATCCAGCCCAGCATATACGTGAGTCACTGCATGTGCAATTTTGAGTTTCGGTGCCATTGTGTATGTCTACAGATGGGCACACACACTCCCATTTGGCCATTGCCCCTCAGGACTTAGAAGCTGTCCATTGTTATAGTTAGAACCAGCCACACAGAAGACAGCAAAGCAATGGTAGCTAATGATCCTGAATGTCATCTCCTAGGAAACCACGCTGGCTTCATTACATTGTTTCAACTCTGTGCTGACCACAGTTTTACTTCAGCATCATACATATGTAGCATCTACTATGTGTCATATACTATAGTAAGCACTTTGAAAAGTTAACTCACTTAATCTTCACAGGTATCTTATGAAACGGGTTACAAATAGTAGTCCTTTTATATGGATAGGAAGACTGGAGCACAGAGAGATTAGGTTGCTTAAAGACACACATCTAATAATAAATGGTGGGGTGAGATTTGAACCCAGACTGGCCATAGAGTGCTTACTTAACCAACTATGTTATATGACTTAAACCTCCCAGATGTCCACGCACTGAGGACTCAACCATCCAGGTAGTGGAGAATGGGGAGTCCCCTCAGGGACGATTTTCTGTCCAGATGTTCCGTTTTGCTGGGAACTATGACCTGGTCTACCTGCACTGTGAAGTCTATCTGTGTGACACTGTTAATGAAAAATGCAAACCTGTAAGTTGCCTTTCTTCCCTCAGGCCGCGTGCCATAACCTCCCCCTCCCCCATCTCCCATAACCAAAGACATTTGGCCACAAGGTCTAAGAGAAAACAAACATTTTGGCTGTTTCTCTTTTAGCCCAGGAATAGAATGAGCAGTAAGATGGGGTAGGCATGGCCAGGTAAGAGACCTAAGCTTTGGGAAATCAGGCAGGATCAGTACATTGCGATTGGCTGGTAAATGTTCTGGCTTATCTGCAGGCTTGTGTTCTGATAACAGAAGCTGACGTTTTAAAGCACCAGGTGCACCTTATCTGGGTTAACTTCTTAAATTATTTGTAGTAACTAAAGGAGAGAAATTTTATTACTTCCTTTTTCTATATGAGCTGCTCAGAGAACTTTGGTAACTTTCCTAAGATTGTACACCTAACAAATGGTACAGGTGGGGCATGAGCTTAGGTATGCAGATCTCCTGACAACCCTTGCCTCTCCCATCCTCAAGCCCCAGACTGAGGTGGGAGGAAGCCCCAGTGAGGAGGGCAGCCCATTCCCCACGGCAGGACCACATTCAGTCTCCCTCATGGAAGCGTTTCTTCATTGCCTTCTTCCTACAGACCTGCTCTGGGGCCCGATTCCGCAGTGGGGGCATCATAGACCAAACCCACATCCTGAACTTGGGTCCCATCACACGAAAAAGTAAGAGAGACACTTCCTTCCCCATGCTCCTGGTGGGGAATATTCTCTGGAGATGAGGAGGGATGACAGAACTCAACATGTGGATCTTACTGTGTTCAGACTGGAGCAAGTTGACTCTGTGGGGCAAGGTGGACTATAAGCTGCCTTTTACCAGCTCCCAGTCATTTGTTCATTCTGTTGCGCAAATCTGTTCTTGTGCCTCCTATATGCTAGGACCTATACTAGTGATTGGGGATCTTGTGGTGAGCAAAAGCAGAGAGACCTGGTTCACATGGAACCTAGAGACCACTGGAACAGATATTATTCACACTGAGGAGGGATTAACTAAGAGGGGTCAGGGAAAAGGGGTGAGGGGCAGGGAATCTCAGGCAGAGGGTACGGCATGGGCAAAGGGCCTGTGGTGGGAGGTAGCCCAGCCTGCTAGAGGAACTGAGAAAAGGCCAGGCAGGCTGAAAAGAAGAGGATGTTGGGATACGATACGCTGATCCGGGGGCAGTGGGGGGTGGGGGGGGTCCAGACCATGTGGGGACTTAACAGTTGTTGCTAAGGTTTAGGGCCTTTCTCGTGAAAGCAGTGGGGAACCCCTGAAGGCCCAAAGCAGAGAAATGACATGGTCAGATCTGGGTTTTAAAGACTATACTGTGTGCAAGGAGAAGAACAAATTGAAGGGTTATAACTGAATTCTTGCCGACTGCATGCCTTCTTCTTACACTGATCCTTCTCTTTCCTTCTACAGATGTCCAGGCCATAGTCTCAAGGGCTGCTTCCAGCAGCCTGGGTAAGTTCAGGTCCCCTTTTCTTGGGGACATCTACTAGAACCTTCCTCTGTGGCTTTCATCTATGAGCCCAGGATGTGCTGAAGCACCTGGACTGCTTGGCCTGAGCTCTGAAGAGGTGACTGCATCTGTAGAAACGTCTGGTCCTAGGGATGTACATATACACATATATGTATGCTGCCCCCTGCTAGTGCATATGTGCATATAGACACAGGCATGCACTGACTGGCATATCAGAATGTACATCACCCACACATGTTTGTGCATGTGCACACATGCATATATTCATATTTGTACACACACACATACACGGACAGCTAGAGTTTCATGCGTGCATATTTTGCAGGTACAGACCCACACACACTTAAACAAACATATACCCAGTAGACATGCACACACTAGATCTGCACCCTGGGCACTTCCTGAAGCTTTGTGATTTATCTCTAACACATTTTTTCAGGATTCACTCAACAGGTGACAAATATATGTTCAGTGTGACTACATGCCAAGGACCATGCTTAGTTCCAGGATGAACACAACAGACAAATAAGAAATCCTGTTTCTCTGCTCCTCTGATGACAAAGGCCATGGAACAGGTGGCATTTTATGGCCTTTGATTTTCACAGACACTAACTTGTCTGAAAATCTAGATGAAAAGTAAATCCATGTAACTGTTGCCCTTCTTGGCTCCTGGTACCTAGATCTGAAGGAGTTGTTACACCAACCTAGTGTTTTACCTGAACTAGTCCAACCCTGTAGCAGGGAGCTTGGAACTAAAGATCTAAGGTGTCCCTAAGAGGCTTGTACTCTGTGAATATCCAAAGGTTGCCAAGGATGGTTGATTAGGTTGGGCACTGCACAAGTGTCCTTTCGAGGGGGGCTACCAATCCTAGGGCCAGAGGAAAGACTGTCTTCTTCAATCTGGTCCACCTTTTTCTCCCCTGAGTGGCACCTTTCTCTAATTGGATTTCAGAGCAGATAAAGAGAAAGAAGTTTCCTTTTTCTAACTGATCAGCCCAGAGAGGCTATCCTTTCTTAACTGGTCAGTCTAGAGGAGGTATCTTAGGTTATTTTTGCACAAAAGCACAATATTAGCAGCAGACTTGTAATTGCTTTCTTTGCAGGGTTCCTGAAGGTCTGGCTGCCTCTGCTTCTGTCGGCCTCCTTGACCCTGATGTCTCAGTGATTGGCAGCTGGAAACCCTGTGCTCTGTGGTTCTCACTTCCTGCTGAATGTGAGTGATGCAGTTTAGTGCTCCAGCCACAGAAAAACGAACTCACACTTCAATCACCCTGTTCCTTTTGCCCTGCCTTTAATCCTCGTTATCACAAAATGGCTTGTATCTTTAAATTCTACCTTCTCTCAAAATGGGACTTGTGACGTGTCTGCACTTAAGGTCCCATGTCTCCTTAAAAAGTGTGGCAAAATAATAAGTATTTTAAAAGCTCAGTCTTTGAAGTTATTCATTCATTCAATAAGTATTTTTTTTTATTGAGCACCTACTATATGTAGGAATTGGCCATAGTTTTGAGGATCCTGTGGTGAGAAAAACCAGGACTCATGGAGTTCACACTCTGGTCGAAGAGACTGGGTTCAACTGGTTGAACTGTGCAACCTTAGATAAAATACATGATGCGTTTGAGCTTCATCCATCCATACATCCATTTGTTCAAGAAATATTTGCTGAGAATCTCCTCTGTGTTAGGCACTGTGCTCTCTGCTGGGGATACAGCAGCAAACACAATCCCTCCACTCATGGAGCTTGGAATCTGGCAAGAAATGGAGTGAACCTGAAAGGTGATTACAAGTGTGGCTGGCATGGCAGAAATGGAAGGTATAATCAAGGGCTGCTGCTGCTGCTGCTGCTGTATAAGGAGACCAATTATGATGCCCTCACAGGGCCCATTCAGCTTTGCAGAAACATTTATGTGAGCACCCAGTACACGCCAGGTACCATGATGGGTGCTGGGCAGACACTAGAGAATAAGACAGATGCAGTCCCTGTTCAGGAGTCTCACAATCTTTAGAGGTGATGTACTGACACAGCCTATGTACTTCTTCCTTCATTGCACTTGTCCCTCTCCATCCGAAAGATGTAGGTCTGTTTACATGGCCACAGCAGCAGCAGCAGTGGAGAGAAGACCCACTACTCCCATTGGCAGGGATGCTTCACAATGGGGGAGGGTGCTCGAGGAGGCTCGCTGAAGGCACAACCATAAATAAAGAGGCTGCTGGGCCCTGGGGACCCAGATATTCCAAGGACTCTGGACTTCACTGTCAAGTGGGCTAGTGGAAGCGAATGATGGTGGGAAATGTCTACCTTGACACCAGCTGCTTCCTGGAACTCCAGCTGTGGCTTTTCAGGACAGACCAAGGCCCTGTTGCTTTATTAGAGCCTTCTGACCTCAGGGAAAACCACACGTGTGTATCAGCAAACAGGGACTATGGGGACAGTGTTTCTTGAGTTAAGAGACCTCAAACGCAGTCACGTAGACACACACCAAATCCCCATGCCTGCTGCCTTTGCACAAGGGCTTTACATAGGAGGACTTTAGAGCTGACCCCAGCCCTGTCTATGGTCAATCCATGCTTAGTGGAGCCTGGCTGGATTATGTGCAGATATACTTTGATTCAGGTACAACAAAACAAGAAGAAAAATAAAGAGGCCAAAGGCAAGATCCAGGAAAAAGAAAACATATCAGAATTAATCCATCTTTTCCTTTCTTTTCTTTATTTTCCTGTTTGTTTTTTAACAGTGAAGGAGCAGACTTCTGTTTATTTATTTTCAGAGAAAAAGAGTGAGAGAGTAGAACATGACTGGGGGAGAAGAAAGAGAGGGAGAAAGAGAATCCCAAGCAGGCTTCACACTCAGAGTAGAGCCGGATTCAGGGCTCCAGCTCAGGACCATGAGGCCATGACCTGAGCCAATATCATGAGTCAGATGCCTAACTGACTGAGTTACTGAGGTGCCCCTACTTTCTGTTTTTTTTAATCAGTTAGGTATTCAACTCAACATTCAATAGATAATTTAAGCATAAATTCAATGACAGGCACTTTTATAGGCACAGAAACAGCAAGTAATCAAAACAGTCCTTGCTGGTAAAGCACTTATATTTAAAAGGGGGATACATTTAAACAATAACTATGTGAAATGTCAGCAGTGACATGCACTTTGGGAAAGACAAGGAAAAGAGAACAGAGATATGGGGGTGTTGTTTTATGCAGGATGGTCAGAGAAAGTCTCTCTGATAAGCATAAGCTAAGAGAACAAACTAGTGGGATATCTGAGGGAGAACATCACAGACAAGTACAAAGGCCCTGAGGCATGATCTGGTATCTTCCCAATAAGGTTTCACTAAGACTTGGACAGCCATAAATTTTGACGCATCATTTACAGGAGAGACTGAAGCATGCATGTTGTGAATTTTTCCATTTGTTTACCCAATAAGTACTTACTGGGTGTTGGTTAGAACAGCAAAGACAGGATCCCTGTCCACAAAGATCTTAAAGACTTCAAGGGAGACAATGGGGGAGAAGAAGGGGAAAAATAGTTGGGGAGAGGGAGGGAGGCAAACCNGGGGAGAGAGAGGGAGGCAAACCATGGGAGACTCTTGAATGCTGAGAACAAACTGAGGGCTGATGGGGGTGAGGGGGAGGGGAAGGGGGGGTAATGGGCATGGAGGAGGGCACTTGTGGAGATGAGCACTGGGTGTTATATGGAAACCAACTTGACAGTAAACTATTAAAGGAAAAGACTTCAAGGGAGACAAATAAGTCAGTGGGTAATTGAGTGAAATTGGAATCATCCCAGTGAGGCACAGGAGCAGAGAAGAGAAGCACTGGCAAGCCTGTGATGTTCTGGAAAGTCTTCCTGGGGGAGGTGGACTTAAATATGTAGTAGGAGGCTGGGAACAGTATGATCTAGGCAGAGGGAATAGCACATGCAAAGGGCTAGAGGAAGGGAACAGCTCAGAGAGCCACAGATTGGCTGGAGCATAGAATGTGTGGGGAAGAAGCTGTAGATGAGGTAGGAGCTATAGCCAGGAGTCAGATCCCAGGAAGAAGGAAGTTACAGGAGTGGGGGATAATGCTGAGAGGTAACTCCATGGCATCTGGCTGCAGGGAACGTAATAGAATCAAAGGGGATAAGAATGAAAGCAGGGAGACCCACTAGGCAGCTGTTAAAATCACCCTTATCAGATGATGTTGGCTTGAATTAGGGTTAGTGAAATGGGGCTAAAGAAGGAAAGACAGATTCAAGAAATATTTGAAAAGTGAGTGACAAGTTGTGGTCATTACCAGAAATATGAGTCTGAGGGAGAAAGGAAGGAGCCAGGTCTTCAGCTTGGGTGACCAGATGCATAGTAGTGTCACTGATTAAGACAGACAATGGGGGTAACTGGGTGGCTCAGTTGGTTAAGTGTCAGACTCTTGGTTTCAGTTCAGGTCATAATCTCAGCTCATGGGTTCAAGCCCCACATCTGGCTCTGTGCTGGCAGCATGGAGCCTGCTAGAGATTTTCTCTCTCCTTCTTTCTCTGATGACCCCCTGCTCACTCTCTCTGTCTCAAAATAAATAAATTAAATAAACAAGCACACAAACTTAAAAAAAAAAAAACAGACAGACAATGCAATGAAAATGGAGAGTCTGGGGAATGGATGAGTTCAGATTTGAGCCTGCTGAGGTGAAAGTGCCTCAAGCATCTTAGCCCAAGGAGAGAGGTCCAGCAAGCAGCTGGGTGGAGACATAGTTCAGATTGGAATGGAGGTGTCAGAAGAGGGATGGAGTAAATGACTGTTTTGTGGACCCAGAAGAATTTTGAAACCCTGCATTTGTGGTGGTTATAAGTTCCACATTTAGGGGATTTTTCTCCAAATGCAAGAGGAGTAGAGAAGGTGGCTTACAGCACTTTCTTTGCCCAGGTTGGGGTTGTGCTGGAAGGTGTTACCAATGCCAGGACCTCTGTACTTTCTGCCCCCAAAAGCCTTGGCTCCTTAAAGAGTCCCTTTGTTCTGCAAAAGCTTTGACTTCCTTATTAATGCCACAATACCATGCCACAAAAGCCAGGTCCAAGCCTGATGCTTCAAAGTCCAAGATATATGGCTTCCTCTCCTTTTCAGACCTTCCAATCTCTAGCTAGCCCACATATCAGAAGGGATTAGAAGAGAGGTGATTCTGACCTCTGGGGGCCTTTTGTCTGGGGGCCTTGTCTGTCCTTTGATATTCCATGATTCACCATCCCCAAACTGGCCCTTCCCAGACTCTTCAACACTGAGTATCTAAAGGTATGTAAAATCTATGGGCCAAAAATAGGGAACACCCATCCCCCACTTCCTTATTTATTCCCTTGCTCTAACTGGCCCTGAGAGGAATGGCATCCAGACAGAAGCAGAAGTGTTCTAAGGTGATTAGCTAAGAACAGAAGGTACAATTGGAAATCCATTGTGCAAACAAGTGCCTGTTTGATTTCTCTCACTTCCCTTTGGATATTAAACTCCCTTTTGATTAGTGTTTGGTTTCTGGTAATAAATATGGCATCAGCTTCATTGGTTTATTTGGGGGGATGGGGAGTACAGATCCTTCTTCTACTCTTTTCTGTGGTAAATCACTTATCTTGCCTACATACACCCAACAAAATCAACGTATACCTGGGAAATTAACTCCAGTCCTACCTCAGCACCAATCACGGATAGCCACGTGGGTAGAGAAATACAATAAAAGGATGGTCCACAGCGGGCTTTCTCACGGCTGGCCAGAGGAAGACCACCCTGTGTTCTTACCCCAAGGTAAGTCCTACTTCAAGCCCCAGCAGGCTTTCTGCTGATCTTGGGGGTACTCCCCTACCATCTTTGACCCACTGGATGTTTTAGGGTCATTTTTTTTTTAAATTTTTTTATGTTTTATTTATTTCTAGGAGAGAGAGAGACAGCATGAGCAGGGGAGGGTCAGAGAGAGAGGGAGTCACAGACCGAAAAAGGCTCCAGGCTCTGAGCTGGCAGTCAGCACAGAGCCCGACGCCGGGCTCGAACCCACGAACCGCAAGATCATGACCTAAGCGAAAGTCGGACGCTTAACCGACTAAGCCACCCAGGCGCCCCTAGGGTCATTTATTTCTGGAAACTTTCAGAAATAGCAAAATTTGGATCCTACCCTATCAAGTGTTCCAGATATCACTGTGTCCATCTCAACCATGATTCCAGCTACCTGCTGGCTACTCCAGGTCTACAGATGCCCCCCCCCCCCCCCCCCCCCCCCCCCCCCCCCCCCCCCCCCCGCCATGCCTCCTTACCCTTCCCCTCCTCCAGGAACATAGGCCCCTACTTGGGATCTCATCCCTAAGAATTAACAGACTTGGGTGTTCTCTAACCTATTCGTGATATCCCTTCCAGAAAAAGTCTCTAGCTTCAACTTGAGTCGAGTCTTCCAGAGGCTTTAAGAAGTCATCAGAAATCTGTCCATTTGAGGAAACTTTTCCAGAAGAGGGAATGTTACTAATTAGAATGTTGGCAGGGTCTTCATATCTCTTTGTTTCTGCCCTCCCTACCCCCATTTTCTTATTCATTTACTGCTCAGACCTTTATTGAGCACCCTTATGTGTCAGACACTGTCCTAGGAGCAAGCAATATGGGGCTCAGTCTGACATGGTCCCACCCTCACAGAAACCTACACACATATAAGGTGCTTCAAGAATTTCTTAGCACGGTGCCTGATACACAGAACTAAGAAAGTAGCTGCTACTTTTGTCTGTAGATACTCACAGCTCTGTAATCCCCTCCATCCAGTCTCCCAGTGTCTCTATCTTTACCTGAGCAGGAACCAGCCTAAGGCCTTCTAGGACGTCCTACCATGCCGGACTGCTCTAAGCTTGCCTTTGGTTCTCTTGATGTCAACCACATCCCCTTGGCAAGCCTCCTACTCTCATTATCCCCACCTCCTTTCTGCAAGTCACACCTGCTTTAAAACAACACAGTCCTTCATGAGGGAAGTCATAGGTCTATTTCTGAGAACATGGGCCTGTGGCCTTAAGCAAGCTATTTAATCTCCAGCACAGTGCCTGTACATAGGAGGAGCTCAGTAAATATTTCTGGGATAAATATATTCTGAGTCCCACCTCCCTTTTCATCCATAAATGGGAACAATAATAGTACCTTCCCTGGAAGGTGGTGCAGAGCCTTAAATGAGCTAAGGTATGCAAGGGGCTGAGTACAAGTCATGGTGCTGAATTGATGTGAATTTCTTTCTAACCCTTATACCCAGAGGAACAGCCTCTGTTGCCCTGATTGTATCTGGGTCTTTCCCCTCCCCTAGCTGCATGGAGAGTCTGCATTCTGCTGAGTGACCTGGACATCTCAGCCTTTGGAAAGGATGGTGGGCTCTTATGTCTTGTGGCTGGCCTTGGCCTCCTGCACTCTGACCCTGACATCTACAGAACAGCAAGGTATGTGCTCTGTTCATCTGGCATCTCAGATGGTCTACCATACCTGGGGAGAGGGAGAGTGCAGAGAAGGCAGTTCAGGGTCAGTGAGGAGAACAGGGACATGTCTAAATCAAAGACTCAGCAGTCAAGAGGAACAAGATGAGAGAAATCAGAAAACAGAACATAGCCATAATCTCTCAAAGAGTCAAATCAGACATCTCCACTGTGAGGACCATGGAGTCAGCCAGTTAATAGAACTTCCCATGCCCAGATATGCAGGGTTCAGACAGCTTAGATTCATGGGGACGTGAATCCCCCAGTCACTCTGTGCCCTTGTTTTGGCAAGTACCTTCTCCTTCCTCTGTATGTTTGCTCATCTGTAGAAAGAAAGGTCTGCAGGTAGTGATTTCCTGGGGGTCCATTCAGAGATCTGCGGATTGAGCACCTTAGATGCTCATGGGAAGGGTCCTCAGGCTCACCACCAGGGTGAAATCTCTGCCTGTATCACCTGTGGAGGGACTCAGCTCATGGCCTCCCTTGGAAAAACACATCGTGTGTGCGGAAAATAATCCAAGAATAGCAAGTGCAGTGATGACTTTTCTTAAAACAAGCACATATGTAATCAAGTCTTGAAAATCTCTTTTCTAAAAACTCCTTCCACCGTGTATTATAAGAATGTGATCCTGCATGTGTACTTAGTCCATTATTCAGGCTCTCACAGTGTTCAACAAATCAGAACTGGAGGAGAGAACCAACCTCAACTCCTCTTAGGACTCAGGTGCTGTGTTTGGCATTTTACACCTATTACCTCATTTAATCCTCTAGCAATGCTTTAGGGCTTTCTTTCCTCAAAACAGGGGACGTATTCCAGGAGGACTACAGCAGTGCATGGCAAACTCTTGAAGAATTTTTTGATGGCTATGTAGATTTTGTCCTGTGTATTAAAAATATGTAACTAGTACATCATACCTATGGTATCACAGATATTATTCCTTAAGATGAAACAAATTTATAAAGAGAAGCACTGAAAGAAACATATTAAGTAGACAACAGGAGACACAGATGTGGCAAACACCATGGCTCAAGGCATAGGAATGGAGGGAGTTTGAGAGCTACCAGCTATAGGTGTTGGTTTGCAGATAAGTCTCAGGGGAGTTGAACCACCTGTCAAAGTCACCTAGCCAGCAGGTGTGGAGCTGATTTAAACCCAGAATGACCAACCCGTCCCTTCACTTCTCAGCCTCTTCACACATCATAGTTCCTGAATCTGCTAAAAATCAGAAAGGGTCATGTTAGAGCAGTGGTTCTCCATTGGGGGTGATTTGGGCAATGTCTGGAGAAAACTTCCAGGAGGAAAGAACTACTGAAATCTATAGTGAGAAGAGCCCAGGGAAGCTGCTGAACATCTTATAATGCACAGGATGTGTCCCCTCTGCCTCCCCAACACAGAATTATCCAGCCCCAAATATCAGTAGTGCCAAGGTTGAGAAATCTTCTGTTAGATCTGTATCTATTGATAATGGGTAAATGTCTATGATATATTAAGTAAAAAATGTAAGTTTAAAAAAAGGGGTGACTGGGTGGCTCTGTCGGCTAGGTGTCTGACTTCAGCTCAGGTCATGATCTCACAGTTTGTGGGTTCAAGGCCCACATCAGGCTCTGTGCTGACAGCTCAGAGCCTGGAACCTGCTTCAGATTCTATGCCTCCCTCTCTTTCTGCCCCTCCCCCACTCACACTCTGTCTCTCTCTCTCAAAAATAAATAAACATTAAAAAAGTTTTTTTAAGCTGTATATCATTAAACCCATTTAAAAAAACCCTATAGTTTAAACACATGGATAGAAAGAGTCTGAAGAATATACAATAAATTTACGGATACTTCTGGGGATGGAATGGGCTTATGACAACTTTCATTTCCACTTTATTCATTTTAATGACATTTGAAGTTTTTTCTAATGAGGCTGTATTGCATTTATAATACATAGTCAGACAGGACCAGAGTATATGGTTGCACAGGGGAGCACTGCACAACTCTAGAGCCTGGGGGAGGGCACCAAACTCAATGTGAAGGATGCCGCTTAGAATTGTGCAGGGTGGAGGCCTTGGTGTTCTTAATGCCTATAAAATACCACGTAAAGTTCTCATTATTATTCCGACTCCAAGATGATGAAGGCTGATGTTTAATGAATGGGTTGTGTGCTTCCCGTCCTCTTTAGGGTCCTTAAGCACATTGAAAACAGAGTGTGGGGGGGAGTGGGGGGAGGGGATAAAAATCCTGTGGGCTCTGAGGATGCTCATTAAACCCAAGCACACTGTTGCTTCCCTTCCCTGTTACACAGGTGACAGAAACCTCACCAACAGTAGGTCCTATGACCCCTGCGAGAATTACGTCCGCCTGGACGAACCCTCCCGAAGCACAGAGAACACGAGAGAAGGCGACATGTGTGACAGGGACAAGAGTGGCTGGTACCGCTTTGTGGGAGATGGAGGAACAAAGATGCCAGAGACCTGTGTCCCAATACAACGCTGCCAGACACATGCTCCTATGTGGCTGAATGGGACCCACCCCACACTCAGGGAGGGCACAGTCACCCGCACAGCTTGTGCCCACTGGAGCGGCAACTGCTGTCTCTGGAAAACCCAGGTGCTGGTGAAGGCCTGCCCGGGCGAGTTCTACGTATACCAGCTGGAGGGCACCCCCAACTGTAACCTCAGATACTGCACAGGTGAGCCGCAGAGAGCTGGAGGCAGCTGGGTAGAGGGGCTACCAGCTGCGGGATGACTTGCCAGGCATTAGCAGAGTGAGTGGAGCAGGCCTGAGACTAAGCAGAGCAGCCTCGATTTAGCTCCTGCTGGTTACCACCCAGTGGGGATGTCACCCAAGGTTGCCAGCCTTCCAACATTTCAAGGCCAGAAATTCAGATTGGAAGGTGAAATCTCCTGATATATCATATGTGTAGCATAATATGAAGAACTCAGGCTCACTCAGATTTAGATTCCATTTGGGTAGTTTAATTTACCTCTCTGAGCTTGGGTTTTCTGATCTGAAAAAATAGATAATGGCAAAAGTTAACAGCCGGTGCAAAGAGTCCCTGCTTCTATCCAAAGCGCTTTAGACTATTAACTCATTTAATCCTTACACTAGCCTCATGAGATATAGGTACTGTATAACTATACCTGATGAAAGGTCTGGGGCACAGAGAGGTTAAGCACCTCTCCCAATATCACAGAGCAGGAACATGATGGGTCTGGGATTTGAATCCAGACACTCTAGTTCAGTGATCTATATGCCTAACCACTATTCTACTTAGTCTCATACAGTTACCATGGGAACTGAACGAGCTCATGTGTGGAAAGTACTTGAAGAGTGTCTGCCACGCAGCAAGCATTAGGATGGCAGCCTCTGGGTTCTCATTTCACTGGATTGGGAGTCAGAAAATCTGAGTTTGAGGGTTGGCCCTTGCACTATACATAGTACATCCTTGGGTGGGACTTTTGTGCCCTGGTAGAATGACAAAGCTGGCCCTGATTGACTCAGATGGCTTTGCTTTGCATTCTGATCCTCTTCCTCTGTGCCTCACCCCCTAGACCCCTCCACTGCCAAGGACAGGTGTGAGAAGGCCTGCCGCCCAGAGGAGGAGTGCCGCTTTCTTAATGGCACGTGGGACTGTTTCTGCAGACAGGATCTCAACAGCTCTGGTGAGTGGCTCAGCAGGGCTGGGCAGTGGGAATGGTGCTGTTAGAGGCTGGGTGGGGCATCAGGGAGGGAGCTTCAGAGGGTCAGAACAAGGTGTAGACCAGAGTCAGTGGGGATGGAACTGAGGTCAGGGAATGAAGGTTCTCAAAGCCATTTGCAAGGATGGGAGAGCAGGGATGCAACAAATTGCCAGGTCAGTCTTTGGACCACAGTCTCAGAAAGCAGTTCTGGCATGGACCAACTTGACCCACAAGGGGCAAAGGTACAATGGACAAGCACTCTGCTAGTGTGGGAACTGTATTCAAATATCTGCAGAATCTACATGTGACAGACAAGAGCAGGCTCTTGTGCCAGTCCTGGATTTGTGATTTAGTAGCTCTATGGGGCCTGGGAGGCACCTATACTTTCTGAGCCTTAATGTCCTCATCTGTAAAACAGGAATAAGTAACCACCATACAGGGCGATTGTGAACATTAAATCAGAGCAGTCCAAATAGGAAGGCTTGGTAGGTGATGAGGTTCTTGTCCCAGGAGGTAAGCAAGCAGAGGCAAATGACCCATGAGAAGGAATGCCATAAACAAGCCCTAAGCCCTGGATGGGGGTTGGATGAGCTTCTCATTAATTCCTTCCCTCCTCGGACTTTAATGAGGGCCTTAGACTCTTGCCCCTGCCACAAGCATGTTTTCCTCTGAGCACACTCCCAGCACACTTCCAATTTCTCTGTGGAAGAGAAAGTGTTCTAGATGGAGGAGCAACAACAAGCATATGTTTGGAAAACTGGGCTGGAATGTGGATCAGGTGCTGCATGAGTGTGCCTAGCAGGAGTGCAGTAGGGATGAGGGGCAGGAAACTGGAAGGAAACAGCTCTGCTCTCCATGAAGTCTCTCTCTCTGCTCAATGGGGAGAAGAGCCTCCAGAGGGTCAAAGTTGTTTCCGGGGATGTGGGCCATCACAGAATCAGAATCAAATGTCAGGCTTGAAGGACGCCCTCCCTGTACCTGAAGGGTACAAGCAGGTGGCCTGCCTTGACTCTTCAATGGTGGCTACTCAGCAAGTCCCCTTCACTTCCAGGAATAACCCCTTTGTGATCTGGCTTTTCTGCTTACTTCTCCATCTCTCGCACTCCACCCCCACCTAAGTTCCTGTACCTCTGAGCTCCGCTTGTCCATCGCCCCATACTCTCCCATCGCCTCTGCTGTGGTGCCCTCACTTGCCTTATACAACTGCAAAACTCCTATTCTCTACCAAGTTTCAGCCCTTTGTGAATCCTTCTCTGCCTTAACTGACAGACTCAGACACCCCTTCTTGTTGCTCCCTCTGCACCTAGCACATACTTCAGTTAGTACTTTCTCCGTGTTGCATTATAATAAGCTATTGACATGTTGGTTCTTAGACAAGACCAAGGAATCCTCTTGGACTGGGTCCATGTTTATTTTTGTGTTGAATGTGCCTCTCACTTGGAGAAGGTCATTAGTAAATGTATTTGAATGTATGCATTCATGAATATAATAGAAATAGTATTTCTCTTAATTTGCTATCCATCTCCCCTATGAGAACGTTAACTCTCTCTATAAGGGTGGGGATTTTGTCAGTTTTTACAAACACTGCATCCCTAGTACCTAGAACAGTGCAGGCAGTAAATGCTCAAGCAGTATTTGTTGAATAAATGTTGAATGAATGAATGAATGGAATGAATCAGTGAATGAACAAATGAATGGAATGCAGTGGCTGTGGACCTGGTAAGATATACTGGCTTCACACGGCCAAGCAGTTGGAGTAGTGTGTGTCTAGCTTTGATTCTAGTCTGGAATTCAGGATAGTCCCGCTTCCCCCAAAGACTGCAAACACCAGAAACACCGATCCCTGATCCCTGAGACATGGAAGCTCTCCCCATACCTGCACATAGGATGCTTAGAAATCTTATGGGATTTCTGGCCTATGGGCCAGGGGCTTTGCCAACCTTATCTACCATAAGCCTGGGCGTGAATCCTGCCTGGGTTCCAAGCACCTACTAGTTTACCCTACCCCCTGGTGGATATGGTGGCTTTTCCAAAGGGTAGGGAATGTGGGCTCTGCCCACTGCTTCCAGAGCCCTGTCCACTCCACCTACCCCCTTCTCAACTTTCCAGATGTTCACAGTTTGCAGCCTCAGCTGGACTGTGGGGCCAAAGAGATCAAGGTGTCAGTGGACAAGTGTCTGCTGGAAGGCCTAGGTTTTGGAGACGAGGTCATTGGCTACCTGCACGATGGGAACTGCAGCAGTACCATGCAAAGACAGGAAAGAAACTGGGTATCTGTGACTAGCCCAACCCAGGCTTGGGCCTGCGGAAACATCCTGGAGGTGAGTTGTATTTATACCACTGCTGCCAGAGGGTGGGAGTTGAGCTGTGGAGCCCATCTCAGTAGCTGTGAGACCTTGGGCAAGTCACTTAGCCTCTCTGGGTCTCTGGCCAAATGTGAGATTACACATTCGTGAACATGTTGGTTCATGTAAAAAGCTTAGAGCATGTTTGCTGATTGAATTCAATAAATGTAAGCTATGATTATGATTATTTTAATTAGGGGTAATGTGGGAGGGGTCAGCATGGGAGCAAGCATGGTGGTTGCTGATTCTCCTCATGGGCCAAAAATTATTATTCTAGTTCTCGATCTGGGATCCTCACTCCCTTTCCCATAAAGTGTCATAGCCACTGGGGCAGGAGACCCCTGTGCTTCCTTGTAATCAGAAGGCAGGGTGGCAGCATGATTGAGAGCATCAACCTTGCAGACAGGCAAGCCTGAGTTCCAGATACATCTACACACACATAAACATATATACGTGGTCTTGTTTTTATGCCAAAGAGAAATGGAACCCATGCCATCTACAAAAACACCCTCTCCTTGGTCAATGCTTTCATCATCAGAGACACCATCCTCAACATCAATTTCCAGTGTGCCTACCCACTGGACATGAAAGTCAGCCTCCAAACTGCCCTGAGTCCCATTGTAAGGTAAGGCACTGACCCTTGCCCTTTGACCCATAACCCTGACATTGATCACATTCACTTCAAGCACAGCTTATGATGTCCTTAGGATGCTGCCTACCTCCTTCAGGAGCTCTCACTCTTTCTGTTATTCATTCTGTAGACATTTGTTGATCATAATGTTCAGCATGCACAAGGCAGAAGTAGAATATTTTGTGGCTGTTAAAGATTATTATCGTTAAACAATGTAGCAACATGAAATAATGTTAATTAAATATGCTAAGGAACAAAAAGCACACCATGGTTTCATTAATCTTGAGGAAGAAAGGAATTAAGCAACTAATTATATCAATCATTATTCACAAGTGACATGAATGCAATGTGGGAGAAGCACAGGGTGCTGTGGGCTGAGGGAGCAGGGGCTCCTGACCTAGCTTTCGTAGGGTGGGGATGGTAGGAGCAGGAAGGCTTCCCTGAAGATGTGGGATCTAAGCCAAGATCAGCTTTGATTGGAGAAACATATCAAATTCACTAGAAATAGAACCAAATAGCAATTTGAGTGGGGGTCCATTTGGGAAGAGGCTTTCCTCTGTTTTGTCACTGCTGTCTTACTATGCCTGAAATGGTGCCCCACAGAATGGATTCTTCAGCCTTCCTGCACTCACTGGGGGACTTTCTGAGGATGTTGGTGCCCTTCCTATCCCCTCATTGCCTCCTGGGCTCACAGAGGAGCAGGACTAGGACTGGAGGTTGAGTCCTGTTCAATGGTTTTCAGAGTGTATTGTGTCAGGGCCCCAAGTTTAATAACAAATGAAAATTAAAGCTGTTCCTCTTTTAAAATGATGTTTTACTGGTGACTGTGGGGTGGAGGGAGGAGATCTCCTGCTAAAAATGGTGAACCCACAGGACTGGTCCCATTGTACGGGGGGAAGACAGAGGTGTAAACTTGCAGTTATTCTCTGAGTGAAGGAGATACAAGTGATCTGTGAGGTGGGGAGAACTGGTGGAGATCCTGGAGACACACTCAAGTGCTTGTCAAGTTTAGTGCCTAGGAGATACTAAATGCTTGACTTAAATGGGTGACTGAATAGTTCCTTTAGGGATCCAAGATGTGCCTTTGCCTTCATAGTCTCAAGCAAGTGCAGGGCTAGATTTATCCTGTTCTCACTGATGGAAACTCTCATGGCTTTCCTCTTCTCAGTTCTCTGAATGTCAGTATGGATGGGGCAGGAGAGTTCACTGTCAGGATGGCCCTGTTCCAAGACTCGAACTACACATCTCCTTACGAAGGGGCTGCAGCTGTGCTGGATGTTGAATCCATGCTCTATGTGGGCGCCATCTTGGAGAGAGGGGACACCTCCCGGTTTAACCTGTTGTTGAGGAACTGCTACGCCACGCCCACTAAAGACAAGACTGACCCTGTGAAATATTTCATTATCAGAAACAGGTGATGGGCAACTCTGGGCTAGTTTTTGGCCTGAATAAGGTTTGAGGGAAAGTGATCACTTTGACCCTGCCGGCAGTTGGGTTAATTGGCTTACCAATTATTCTGGAAAATAATTTGGTGTTACAGATCATGACCATCCCCTTTGACACAGGAATATCAATATCACTCCTGAAATTTTAGCCTAACGTGTTAATACAAAAGAGGCTGACAAGGTAAAGAAATGCCAAATATTTTTCAGTTCAGTGTCCTTTATAACTTTGGAAATACATTTATAATTCAAAAACAAGGATTTATTAAGTAATGATGGACTATTATACAGGTGACTAATCAACATGAAAACACCATGACAAGTGTTATGAGACGAAATATCACTGAAATTGTAACCTGGCAAAAACAAAGGGAAAATGCATATCCTAGATCATGATTCAAACCACACTAGCTAATAGTATTCATTGAGTTTAGTTCTGTGCTAAGCAGTGTACATGGACTGTGTCACTAAATGCTCACATCAACCCCAGGAGGTAAAGATTATGGTCTCTGCTCTACAGATAGGAAAAGTGAGGCCCAGATAGGTTAAGTCATCTTCTCATGATGACTTAACTAGAAAGTGGGTCTAGCTAGAATTGAAAGCAGTCTATTTCACCTCAGAGACTATACCCTGCAAGACTGAAACCGCGTATACTGATGATAAACATCTTGGAAGAAACCTAGAAGAATAAAAGTTCACGTCAGGATAGACAGGGGGAACAGGGAACTCTTTAATTCTCTTTAATGATGTTTCTATACTGGATACAGAGGGCCTCAGGTCCCTTGAGCTGCTCCAGAAGTTAGACACTCACCCTTGTCACCCTTGCAGCTGTCCAAATCAACGCGATTCCACCATCTATGTGGAGGAGAATGGGGTGTCCTCAGAAAGTCGATTTTCAGTTCAGATGTTCATGTTTGCTGGAAATTATGACCTAGTTTTCCTGCATTGTGAGATTCATCTCTGCGATTCTCTTAATGAACAGTGCGAGCCGGTGAGTATCACTTTAGAGTGAGCTATTCAGACCTTGACATGGGGCAGAGTACCTAGTAGGCTCTCTTTTATGTATTTATTGGAATTATGGATGGATGGAAAGAAGGAAGGGAGGAAAGTGAGAAAGAAGAAAGAAAAAAGGATGAATGGATGGACATTTAGCCTACAAAAAGCCCAAGTGTAAGCAATTATTGTGCCCTTGGAAACCAGAATAGATGAAGGAGGCTGTCCATGAGGTTTTCTTAGCACAAGACATATTGTGAATAATTTCATAATTGAAATCATTGACTTTTTTGTACTTACTCCTTGTCAGGAATTACACTAAAACTTTCATATGCCTTGGCTAGTGTAATTCTTATAACAGCACTTCAAGTAGATTCTTTATTGACCTCATTGTACAATGAGGAAACAGCTTCAGGTCTTTTGCTCAAGGGCAACACAGCTAGAAAGCATCAGAGCTGGGATACACCTTCATTGTCCATGCTTTTAACTCCGATTTGGCACTGCCAGCTAGTAGTTGATATTTGGTGAGTGCTTCCTATATGTCTCTGTGTTGCAGACACACTCATTTTAACATTTACAACCAGAACGTACTGTTTTTTTTTTTTTTAAATGTTTTATTTATTTCTAGGAGAGAGAGAGACAGCGTGAGCAGGGGGAGGGTCAGAGAGAGAGGGAGTCACAGACTGAAACAGGCTCCAGGCTCCGAGCTGGCTGTCAGCACAGAGCCCGACGCGGGGCTCGAACCCACGAACCGCGAGATCATGACCCAAGCGAAAGTCGGACGCTTAATCGACTAAGCCACCCAGGCGCCCCAGAACGTACTGTTTAATAGTAGTAGGGAGGTGATTTAGAAAGCTAAAAGGGAGTGGAGAGGAGATTCAAACTTGGGTTTGTGTGACATGACAATGAGGATTCTCTAGACTGAGAAAACCACAGCCTCAGAGTTAGGGCCACATGGTGGGTGGGGTCCCATTCTTGGGCCAGATATGCCCATTGCAGGGGCAGCCTGGATAGCAACTATGTCTTTAAATGATGGTATAATGAGATTTCTCCATCCCACAGTCTTGCTCAAGAAGTCACCTCCGTAGTGAAGTAGTGGCTATTAACCCAGCCCAGGTTCTAGATTTGGGACCCATCACTCGGAAAGGTAGGTGGCCAATTTCTGGTGAGAAGGCCAGCTGGTCAGGTGCTGACAGTTAACCACAGATAACTGGCGTCATCACCATAACAACCTAGAGCCTTTTTAGCCTCCTCAATGCAGCCCTCCACCAGTGAATCTATCTTTCCAGGAGCTTCTTTGGTAATAATAATAGCACTTGCCATTTGTGCTGGGCCTCCTGTGTGCTAGAGACCAGGCTAAGGGCTCAGTATCCATATTTTCACTTCATCTTCCTAACTGCGTCCATTTTACAGGTGAGAAACTGAAGCTCAGAAAGATTAACCAGCTCAACCCAAATCATGCAGCTCATGAGCAGCAGGAGTTAGAACTTCACTCAGCTCAGACTGATTCCAAATCATGTGTCCTTTCTCTTAGGCCTCCTTCCAGGTCCCCTTTCCTCAGCCCCTTTTGGGTGAAGTCTAAATCCTAACCCAACTTTGTTTTCTGGTGAATGACAATGTTTTTAAAACTCCAGTTACAATATTCTGGGGCCTGATGTAGAGGAAATTTTCCAAGTGTCCCACAAATATTTACCCATCCTACCCATGGGTTAGCAGTACTGTTATGGTTTTTATAACCCCTGGAATGGAGGAGTCACAAAACCCAGAAGAGTGAAAGCAATTTTTTTTTGTCCAAAAAAAATTAGGACACAGTAACATTAATAACAACAACAGTAATAATAATAACACATGTGGCTGGCACCATGCAAAACATTTATATGCACTGTCACATGGAATGCTCACAGCAACTTAAGGAAGTAAGCACTATTACCACTTCCATTCTCCAGGTGAGTAAACTGAGGCTGTCTTGTAAAGAAGGTTCTGCCTTCAGGTGTCCTGACTCTTTACTGAGCCCTCAACTTGAGAAGCTTCATGTGGTACCACAGCATAGTTGGAAGGTTAAGAGCTCTCATTTTGGAATCAGATAGACTAGAGTTCAAATACCAGCTTTGCTACTTACAACAAGGTCAACTTGTCCTTGGGCAACTGAGCCTCAGTCTTCTCATCTGCTGAATGGGGATACAACCCTTCTGCTGGAAGGATTAAGTTTCAAATGCATGAAATGTCCTTATAAGGAGAACCACCAAACAACAGATGTCTCAACAATGTGGGCTGTCAATGGCTGTGGTGACCAGGTCCAGGAGGACTTGCAGCAGCTACGATGAGAGTGCCACAGTCACTGGCACATGACTGAGAAAACCTTCACGTCTGCTCTTGTCCCCAGGTGCTCCATCTCTCAGTGTCATGAATGGAACCCCCAGCACTGCAGGTACATCATTTTCACCTGCCTATCTCTCTGCCCTCTTTCCTGACCCTCTCTCCTTCCTCTTCAATTTGATGCATGTCAAGTCAGCCTGTGTTGGCAACTGTGGACATGGAAATGAATCAGTCCCAAGTCTGGCTTGCAGTGTAGTACAGGGGCCAGTCATTTAATAATAGGTATGTACTGGGTGTCTACCATGTGCCAGGTATTGTTCTACATGCTGAAGATATAATAATGAACAGGCCAGGCCAGGTGCTTGCCCTCATGGAGCCTATATTACAGCATGGGAAACAGGCAATAAAAAGTTAGCAAGATAATTAAGAAAAGAGGGTGATGTGATATAAAGTTACCAGCATGGTTAATAGCATCTTAAATAAGATAGTTGTTTCTTTTACTCACATGTAAATGAAGTCTAGACACAAGAAGCAATCCAAGGCTAGCAGGGTAGTACCACAAGGTCATGAAGAATCCAAGTTCTTTTTAGCTCACCCCTTCACATTCTCCATCATCATGGTCCAAGATGGCAACCAGAGCTCCAATCATCATCTAGTCAGCAGGATGGAGGGAATATAGAAGAAATCACTGAGTGTTAAGGAACATTTCTGGAAGCTGGATACTTCCAGCTTATACTTCTACTTACATTGCATTGGCCAATGCTTAGTTACACCTGGCTGCAAAGAAAGCTGGATAATGTAATCTTTATGCTGGGTAGCTGTGTCCCCAACCAATGTTTGTTGGTTCTATTAATAAGGTAGGAAGGAAAAATTAATACCAGAATAGGTAAATGGACAAAAAAATGTCCACAGAAGGTGATATTTAAACCAAATAAAAAAAAGAATCCAGGTTTACAAATAATAAAGGAAAAGTCCTATAGGCAGAATGAACAACAATTGCAAAAATGAGAAAGTCAATAAGCAAATAAATCACGAGCAAGTAGACAGTGGAGAAGGAGCACATAAGAGTAATTAACTGTATTAGATAAGGTCAGGAAAGAATTTCAGCAACATCTGAATTGGGTTTTGGTAGATGAACTGGAGTTCAACAGGGACAACAATCCAAGAAGTGTATTTTGGACCAAAAGGAAAGCAATGTTATTAAGATTTTACTACCCCCACTTTCCCAACACACAAATGACCTATACTGGTGAACCCAGGCATGAAAAAGTTCTTTCTGTCCTTAATTACCCAGCTAGTTAACAGTCAAAAAGTTTCCAGATAAGCTCAAGATGGCCTGTCCATGCTTAGTGCTACTATTCAGACAACATTCAGAAAAGTAGTGCTCATTAGAGAGAGGGGTTGGAGCTCAAGCTAAAGGCAGCTTGAGAGCAGACCTCAAGTCTCATTCATTTCTTCCAGTACTTCAGGTAAGCACAGTGCCTGGAACAGCATGGCTTTTCAGTAGAGTTTGCCAAATTGACTAATTTCTAGGGTGGGCAATGGGTTCTGGAGCCTTCTGGAAGAGGAGGGGATCAATCTTATACAGCATGAAACTGTCACAAGAGGGCACTTATGGTGTTCATTGTTTGCTATCTCCCACAAACATTTCTGATGTTTTAGAATGAACTTCAGCCTGTTTCATAATTGCAAACTGGTTGCCATACACTAATATTTCTGAAAATTATGATATTCTTCACCCCCTCCCTTCTAGGACATCATCAAGTTACTGTGAAATTTGTGGGATGGGGAGATGTTATAATCCTGTAGTGGGAGGTGGTACACACGCCTTTCCAAGGCCCCCCAGTATAAGGAAACTATCATCCAGGATCCATGCCTTTCATTAACACTGAGTAAATGGTAACTTTCAGAGGAGATGTGATCCCAACCCTCCCACATCTTAGGGTCTAATTTTCAAAACCAGTACTTATATGGTGTTTACCATGTATCAGGCACTGTTCTAAATGCTTGATATGAATTTATCAAGTGGTATTTCCATTGTGCATACAGATGAACTCAGTCATGGTGAGACCCAAGAACTGGGCCTGCACAACTACTTGTAGAGCTAGGATTCTAAGCCAAGTAGTCTCGGGCCTTAGAGGCTTTGTAGCCTCTGTGTCTTTCTTTAGTATTAGAGTAAGTAATGTTAGCTGCTGTGACAAACAATCCTCAACTTACTGTGCCTTTATATAATAGTCTATTCCCCACTAAATCACTGGGGGGATGCAGTTCTGTGTTTTGCAATCATTAGGAATTCAGGCTCTTACCTTCTGGTAACTTCTGGTACCTCCACTATCCCTGGCAAGTCCTCTCTGCTAGATCCTTGGCATCTGGTGCCTGGATGTGGATGAGAGAACATAGAATATCATGTAGGAGGTTTTAAGGACCAGGGCTAGAAATGGCATGTATGATTTTTACCCACATTCCACTGTCCAGATTCAATCACGTGGTCCCACCTACCTGAAAAAGAGGATGTAAATAAACTGCCTTCCCATGTGCCCAAAGGAATATGAAAAAGTGATGATTCAATAGCTTTGCCTTACCACATGACCCCTTTGCCATCTCCCAGGGGCTGTAACCCAGAATAGATACTAAATATACTCTGACTTGTCCTTGTAAGGCAGAGGTTAGAGAGGAAAGCTTGCTTTGGCTGTTGAGTTCCAAAGCCAACACTTGACGGGCATCTCTCTTGCATTTCAGGGTTCCTGGTGGCCTGGCCCATGCTTCTCCTGCCCATCCTTCTGGCTGAGCTGTTCTGAGAGCTCAGCTGAGCATCTGGCCTTGAAGCTCATGTTCTTCCCTCTGGCGATGGCTTCTGGTCACCTTTTGGCTATGCTGGTTCTTTCTCCGAATCACATAGACAGTCACGGTGTTCACAGAGGCCAGGCTAGGTTTAGGGAAAGGGAAGAGCTTCTCCTTGTTCAATACTCTCTGTGCCTTTATAGTCCTCTTTTTCTCACAGTGGGGGGCCTGTTGGCCTGCCAGACCTGACTTCCTCATTTATTAGCAGGATCTTGAGGCCACACTTTTAGATGCCTCTGTGGCTCCAGCCTTTACCAGAAATGTAGCATGTCTGTAACTCCAGGGAAGAGGGGATGCATCACTGGGGGGAAGGAGGAGGGAGATGGGCTTGTAAAAAAGGCACCTCCCCACAGTTCCTTCCCAAGTACCCACTGTTATTACTGCTGATGAATTGAACAGACTGATCCTTGCTTTTACCTGTGTCCTCTAATGTATTTCCATCATGGTCTCAACAGTTGCCATGGGAATAACTAAAGGGTCCACTTTTGGAGACTACCTAGAAAAGACTGGTTCTCATTGTTCCTCTGCCCCCACCATACTGTAAACATGCTTTGACATGCCTAGGACTAGGCAGAAACCTACCCTGGGACCCAAATGCTAAAGGGACTTCTTGGTTTGGATGCAGAGATGCTGTCACTCCAGACTACCTCTAGTTATGAATAGTGGTGTGCTTTTAAAGTCCCAGCAGAATATGCTGTGTCGACCTTGCCATGGGGATCTAGCAGCAGTACCTGGAGGATGAATGAAGTCCCATTCTTGAGACTTCTAATGGGCCCTCACAAAACACTCCGTGAAGATACCACAAATAGAGAAGGCTTCCCTTTCCCGCAGCTACACATGAGGCCCGTACAAGTTGGCCTCAGGGAAAATGATCAGATCAGGGCCAGGTCACAGGGGAGTGGAGCCTGTTTATCTGCTAGGAGAAGACTTTCCAAAGTGCTCTCACATTCATAGATAGTGTGTTTGCAAGAAACAGAAACCCAATCCAATCAAATCAGGCAGAAGGAGAATTAATTATAAGGACATAAGAGCAAAACATCCAAGAACAGAAGATACAACCTGGCTATATGAGGAAAACCACCAGAAACCAAAGTCTGCCTTTCCATCTGTCATTCTTCATGAAACCACACAGCCTTTACATATTTGTGTGTCTCCTCTGTTCCCCCCTGCCCTGAAACTAGCTTTTCCTGTTCATTTATCATGTCTGAAATAAATACAGACACTGCAGCTTCATCTCACTTACGAATTCAGGGACAACAGAGACCAACTACCACTTGATATCCTGTATCCAAATTGCACCAGGGGGAATGTAATTTCCCTGTTTGGCTCAGAGTGCTTCCCTTAGTCCAACATCTGAGGCCAGATGAGTGGTCTTATCTAATGCAAACACAGCCAATGGGGCCAACTTGAAGGGGCAGGTCTCAAACACATGGCAGTGTTTCTTGGACTGACATCCCAAAAGGATGTTACTGCTATAATAGTGGCTTCTTTAAAAGGGAATTTCTTGGGAGGAATTGCTTCTGTTTCCCAGTAAGTCAGAGAATTCATAGGTACTACATTTCAAGGGAGAGGGTGCCCCTGAGAATGCACCTGAAAGAGAGGTCAAGAGGCCCTAACCTTTTCCTTTCTCTGAGGCTCATCTTCTTCCTTCTATAGAATAAAGGGGTTAGGCTAGAACAAGATTCTCTAACATTTATAGAAGAATTCTTTAAATGCAATTCTAGGGGTGCCTGGGTGACTCAACTGGTTAAGCGTCTGACTTCATCCCAGGTCATGATCTCACGGTTTGTGGGTTCGAGCCCCACATCAGGCTCTGTGCTGACAGCCAGCTCAGAGCCTGGAGCGTGTTTCGGATTCTGTGTCTCCCTCTCTCTCTGACCCTCCCCTGCTCACGCTGTCTGTCTGTCTGTCTCTCTCTCTCTCTCAGAAATAAATAAAACATTAAAAAAATTTTTTTTAAATACAATTCTACATGAGAACCCAATAGGCAGACATTAAATGATAATAGACTCTTGTTGATGTCAGGTGGGGGGCTTAGCTCTCTTGTCTGTGATTCCCTCATCCTCAGGCCATCAAAGAAACTCCATGATAACCCACAGGGTTACCAAGAACAAACTTCTGGAACTCCCTGGGACATATCACCTTTAATAACTCTTCCAGTATAAAGTACATGGGATTATACTTAACAAAAGTCAGCCTTGGCTGTTTGTCTATCTATATGTCTATGCATGAATCTATCTATCTATCTATCTATCTATCTATCTATCTATCTATCTATCTATCACCAACTCTCCTACTCTACCTGCCCCCATATATTTACCTATATATCTATCATCTATCTACCTAGTTACAGCTTTTTGTTGTACAGCCTACTTTATTCATTTGATCAACACTAATCTGCTGAGCAATTGTTTTGTCCCAGATCTAAGGGCCCAGGTAAAATAATGAATGAAACACAGTCCCTAACTTTAGAGGTTCACAATTTTGTGGAACACAATCACACAAAGAGGCACTCACAGGCAGCTCACACTCAAGCATGCATATCCGCTGACCCTCAGGTGCAAGGCTCATACACCCATATCAATATACATATTCTAACAGATATACACATCAACCTCAGGTGCCCAAAGACACATTTCCACACGCAGATCCTTACCTGGGCCTCAAGCCCAGTCACTTACATATTTATTGCCATGAACAACTTAGTAACATCCAATATTTTTAGCACATCCTATGCACCAGGCATTATTCTAAGTGCATTATGGGCATTGAATCATTCCATCCTCACAGTAGGTATTGAAAGTAAGTACTATTATCCCTAGTTTGGAGATGAGTTAGCCAAGGCTTAAAGAAGGCAATTATTCACCCAAGAACCTATAGCTCTTCAGCGCTGAATTCAGGGCTTAGGCCTAGGTAGCGAGAATTTGAAGGATATACTTTTAACAGACACTGTATTCTGCTTCTGTTTATACACAAAGCCCTGATACACACATAGAGGCACTCATTTTCAAAAATGTACCACCATACATACATGCACCCACTTGCATGCACATGGGAACACATACATTTGTAGTGACATGTGTGGACATACAATTTGCCAACAGAGGCCCTCACACATACACAGGCTTTGACATTCCTGGACACACAGGTGCTAACATGCACACTAACCTATGCATGGTCATTTAGATACAGACACATATACTTTAGTATAGAATAAAACACTAGGAAACTCATATCCTATGCTACACACACACACACACACACACACACAGACACTCACAGATACATAAACATATATGTACATTCCTAGAAGATCCAAGACCTGAATCACACTCCCCAAGGCCAAGACTCCACCCATGTCTCCTCTCCCATTCAGCTTTCCTCTCCTCCATCCCTCAGGCCTAACCAGCTGAGTACTGGGACAAGAAGTCCAAACCAGGGGGCACAGTGAAAGTATGTTCAAGACCCAGCATCTAGAAGTTCTGGACTAGAAGGATGACAGAAACAGTGAGAAAGGACCTGACTCACATTCAGGGAAGGTGATGTCTCTGTCCTGGGGGAGGAGCAGGTGCAGGATGCAAAGAGAGGAAGGGCAGCCCTGCTCTCCAGAAGCTTCAGATCTGCTTGGGAAGCCAAGGCATAAAATTGGAGGCATCCAAAGCTCTTTAGTGTGAGACTAAGACAGATACTGCTGCAAAATGTAGAGAAGGGACCAGAACTCCACTGGGCCTGAGAGAAGAGGGAAGGATCTGTCCTCAGAGTTCCCTGTCTGAGAATGGAATTAAGTTCTGTTCCATAAAATGCTTTATATGGTGATTTGGGTTCACAAGGAAAAGGGTGGGTCTGGTTGTACATATTTTACTGTAATGCTGAAACCTGGCTCCAAAGTCATTGAGAAGAGCTACAATTTTAAAGGGCAGAACCCTTAGGCTCTGGGTCCCAAACTACCCATGCAAGCACTCCCACTCCTCACACTTCATGACAGGAGTAGCAGGTTGCTAGAGAAATAAAAGAGATAAAGGACGTGAAGCCATTTTGCAGTGCATGAAGCATCACACAGATGATAACGGCAGCACTATCATCATCATCATCACCTGCTCTTTTTCCCATTGTAATGTATTAAGCTGCTTCTTACCTCTCTTCATTTGCCCTCTTAGTGCCTACATGTGACCAAAAGGAGACCATTTCTTAGAATCTTTGTGTTTTCCAGAAACAGGACTCCTGAGAGCAGGTGGAAGGGACCCATCTCCTCCCTCAGCACATATAAAAATACTTTATGAACACTTAATATGTACAAACCAGGGCACCAAACGTTTTACATTTTTTTATCCAACTTAATCCTCACAATAATCCTTTGAGAAAAGTGATGTTGTTCCCACTTCACAGAAGAAAAACTGAGGCATAGAGGATTTTAAGACACTCCTCAACATCATATAGATAGCAAACACTTGTCATTTACTCAGTGCATATATGTGAGTCAGCACTTCAAATTTCACACTTTCCAGATAAAGAAGGTGTTGAAGGAACACTAGATAACTCGCTCAAGAAGGTGAAGACTGGAACTCAGATTTGCCTAAATGTAAAATATATGCTCTTCTTTCTATGCCACACAGCCTCCCTGCATGACCTATGCTGCTCTGCAATGACGACTAAAAACCTACCTCAGAATCATAGCAAGACCTATGCACTTGTGTGTGTGTGCGTATGTGTGTAAGCCTGTGTGTGTGTGTGTGTGTGTGGTGGCAGCCACGAATCCATCCTCCATAAGACATCCTCTAGCTCCTTCCACACTCAACAGGAACTCAGAAGAGTCACAGAAACTGGGAGACCCAGAGAAGATTTTCAGACGATCTACTACTACCCCCCATTTATGTCCATGAGAAAACCAGTACCCAGAGTGCACTGAACCAGGAGGCAAGAAATTCCTATTTCAGTCTGACTCCTGCTGATGTGTGAG